ATTATAAAATACTGTCATCCACAGATGGAAGTTATTGATATACAATTACTTCCAAGTGATTTTTAAAAGAGGCACACTGGGTATGTGCCCTCTTAGGAGGTTCAAAACCACCAGTTCCTTGTTTTTGTTTGCATCCTCTTTTTTTGTTTGTATTCTCTCATTTAAATGGTTTTTGCCAGGGACTCTTAACTGCCTTTTAGGATAACCACCTCACTCTTACATGCAGTGCTGATAATTCTCCTTTAACAAAAAGTTATTAGGTACAAGTAGTAGCTGGTAACTGTTGAGCAGCATAAAGAAGTACCCCAATATTTTCTTTTTAGTAGCAGCTTTGTAATTATTTCTTCATTGCACTTTGCCTGAGTAGGGAGACTTTTAGATGTTGACTTTATATGCTGTCTGCTCTAGAAGGAAAATGTTCCAAGCCTAGGAACAACTGTCTTGGAAAAAAAAAAAGACTTGAAATTTCAATCTAACAACAGATTGAGGTGTCACCTACTGACGCTATAGCATAAATGTTTCATTATAAATGCAGACTATTTATGTAGTTATTATTGAAAGATTAGTTACTGATATCAGTTTCTTGTATTTGTGCTGCTATTGGAAGGTTAGGAAGATGAAGTTGCTGTAGAAAGGTGCTGCTGAGCCATCTGAAGCAACGTGGGAGCTGCCACGCCAGATAATACAAAAATGCCAGTTATTGTCAGTATTTCTTTTTCTGGGGGGTACAGAACTTGATCTCACTGCATCCACTCAGGAGACGTTTTGGATGAGTTTCAGCTGCTTGGCTTGTAAAACGTGGCCGTTGCTGCTGGTTTTGAATAGAGTAAGAGCAGACTCTCATCCTCTGATGCAGCCCTCCCCAGACCCCGCAGTCTCCATGTTCTCATCCCAAAGTGACGGAGCCTGTTTCCCCGTAGCAGAAATGCTTTCCAGCTGGCTAGAGGTGAGATTTCAGATCCTTTCCCTTCTCCCTCTGTACTTAGCTTTTCCAACTGGCTGGCTCCAGGCAGCTTCCCGCTCACCAGGTTGCTTTTCCCGATGTGTTAGATTACACAGGGAACTCGGGCATCTGGGTGGGTTTGGATTTCATGACCGGGCCAAGGAGTCAGACGCTGCAGAAGCAAACCTGTGCTTCCCAGAGTCCTTCATCTGCGCTACGTGCTTCTCACCAGTGGTGGGAGATAAGCGCTGATGGGGTTGACTATTTGTCTTCACACAGGGTGCAGGGAGGAGTAAAAATGCTATATACTCCTCCTAATTTGCTGTTGCATAAAATGGCATCCATGTTTTAGCTGCAGTTGTATTTTGAATGACAGCATTTATATCTGAACTGTGAGTCTTAGGTGTCCTGTTGGAAGTTGCTTTTTATTTGCTGTTCCTGCTTACTGTTTCCTTTCAGGTGAGAGATACTCTCATCATCACAGTTGTGTCCTTTCAGATTCCCTGCCCTTATTTACTGAATTATTTTGTTGATTTAAAAAAGGGTCTTCTGTAGTTTTGCCTTGTTTCTGCCATACTAAAGACACACCTGTAGCAAATACATCTAAGAAATTAGTCTGCTGCTGTAGTTGTCACTGGGCAAGCTCCAACCAGTGGCTAGCTCCATGCCCTACCCTCAGTTTGGGGAGACCTGTGTACTGAGGCAGGGCAAGGAACTGCTTTAGGTTGTAAACAACCCTTTTTTGTCCTTTTATTGTGCACACTGATAACAGTTCAGGGGTAGCGGGAAAGTGCTTTAGTCACCTTTACCCCAATGGCAGGGGAGGACTCACGCTGCACCCAGTGATTTCTGGAGAAAAGTGGTCTGCAACCCTGCAAAGGACCAAAAACCTGGGCTGAATCTGACCGGGAGGAAACTGCTGCTAAATCTTTGTTTGCAATGTGCTGTTGTCGATGTGCCTTCTGGGCCTGAGCACTGAGCCATGTATTAACTGTGGTTTGTTAGCCAGAAACCAAACCCTTTCAGGCAGCTCTGTCCTAAAAGTCAGCTGCTGTCTCTAATACCGTACAGGCTGGGCCACATTAAGTATTAGGCACACACAGATTAGATTAGCAGCCTGAAGGATGCTCCTCTGCCCAACAGATTTAAACCTTCAATAGTTTTCTTTCATACAAAAGCAAATCAGGTGCTGTTGCTCCCGATAAATGGATCCTCTGGCCCAGTGTGCTGCAATAAGATATTCCAGCAAATGACCCTGGCAATTTGCCTGGAAGATTTCCTAAACCAGTGTAGCTGACTCCCTCCAGGCTGCTGTGCACTGCCTCACCTCTCTCCCTGCCTCCACAGCCATACTTGGAGACTGCAATTTAATAAACTCAGCACAGCTGGCACCAATTTGGAAACCGTTGTGCATAGGGGTAAACCACCCTCACTCCCAAGAGCACTTGGCTTTGGATGTCAGTGCAAGCTGAACTGGCACCGAGTTTCTAGAGAGCTTTCCATTAAATTTTTACAAACTGAGGGTCAGAGGTGATCTTGCAGTCCATTATCATGCCAATTTCACAAATCAATAGGTAAACAGATCGATATTCAGTTGCTTAAGTATAATTTTTTCAGCCTTTTAAAGGGTGGAAGTGTGAATGATTATGCCAGAACACCATCTCATTTTCAAAGAGGAGACATTAGTCCATGTTTTCAACTAGGTACATGTCTTAAAGTGTACCACAGCCAAAAGGCATCCTTTCACCACTGCTCTTTTCACCAAACCAGCCTGAAACAGGAATATAAGAGTAACCATTGTCCACAGTATCAATGTTTAACTTCTTCCTGTAGAACTGCTTGGGCCCTATATAAAATATAGTTTCCCTATAGCATTATTCATCTTAGAATCTATGTACAGGTGGGGTTTCTTCATTTCTAAACAGAAGAAAATTCACTTCAACTTAAGTGAAAAGCTTCCTTTCTTCTACTTAGTACAAATCAAACCTGAAAAAAGTCTAGCCTGCACCATTTGGGAATGCAGTGACTTAAAAGCAAGTTGTCTTATCACTGTAAATATAACTGAAGCAGCAAGTCTACGTGACTTAGCTAGAGCATTAATCACATTCAAGGCTCTGCAAAATGAAGAATTGTATAGCTATAAGCAAGGCTACTGCCAGCTCTTATCATGACAGCAAGGTGCTGGGGAAAATACTAGCCCTTGGCTTTCCCCTTTGCTCTCCATGTTGCTTTGTATTGAGGAATCTCCTGTATGCGTGCAGTCGCCCATATGCTTCCTCTCCTGCCAAAGGCAAGAGAGACATCACCTATCTATCATTACAACACGTTAATGAGCATCATCTTGAAACTCTGCGATAGGGACCATCTACTAATCTGACATGATGCACAGTGTATCCAGGGAGCAGTTCAAGGAAGACTGCTATTTAAAGTATAGCCCACATAATTCAGACTGATTTTCAGCTACAGGCAGATAAGCATGGGTCAGTAGATATTTAGGATGTACCGCCTCATGCCACAACTCCATCTGTGTTCTGGCTACACCATCCAGCCATGTATTTTAGTGTTCAGTAGAGATCAGAACAGAGGAATAAATAAAATAGTAAAGATGCGTACATACATCAACAAGACTGGTAAAGGCAGAGCCTCAGCTCCCATTAAGCCTGTAATGAAAATGAGATGTAAAAGAATGCCATCTAAATTAGCTTTTCTCAGAACTGCATTTTGGCTAGAGATAACAGTGTTTCTGTGCTTTTAAAGACAACATGAGCACTCTATAAAGAAAGATCAGAAGCATCAAGTCACATAGAAATTCATTAAAAAAATTAATGCAATAAAATTTGCTTGTGTCATGGAAAGACACCTAAAAAACGTCACCATTCTTGGAAGAAGATCTTTGAACATCACCGCTATTTCCAGCAGCCTTTCTCCAAGTTTTTGCATAGGCTGCCACAGCTGTCTCAAGCTCAATCTGGGGCTTTGTTAGTTCAAACAAAACAGTCAGAGAACCAAACACAGCAGTTTTGTAGAAACAGATGGGATACAGCAGGAATGGTCACTCTTGGTTTGGGTCTAAGCTACTTTTAAACTTTGAGTACTTACAAACAGAAACATGAAAACACATATCAGTTCTTAAACAAAAATGGAGACTCCACAGTGGTTGTGCTACTGCTAATATAAATTAGGCAAGTATTTCCTCAGACCACATTTGCTTCACCAGCACTAGATTACCCTGCAAACTTTATTAGGTGAATGGTTTCAGAGATCAACCAAAGTGTTGTACTATTACTTCTACATGTGTATTTTCAGGAAGTGAATGAGCAAGTTGGTTGCAGTTCTATTCCTGGAGTGAGGGCGAGGAGAAAGAAAAAAAAACAAAGCAGTATCAGCTCCTTTGCTCACCACAAACTCCAAACACTTGAACCTAAACTCACAGAAGAGATGGCAGCCTGAAAAACATAGCTAGTTTCAAGCAAATGTGACTGATGACCTCAGCCCCCTTTCTGCACATCCAACTGCCAAACCTCTCTTAGCTTCTCCTTAGCTGAGGCTACAGTTTTTTCCATTGCGAATCTGGGAACATCAAGAACAGGGTATGACGGTCTGAAATAAATGGAATACAAACAGAAGGGGCTCGTGTAGGGATTGTGTTATTCATTTTTACATTTAATGAAAAACTCCATTTGTTCAGTCATAACTGCTGAAGAATGACAGACTGCCACAAAACCCAGAACATCCGTCCAGATACACTGGATTGCCTCCAGAGGCTCTGCCAGCATGATGCTGATTTGTAAGAAACACTGTTCAAATCTGCACATACATAAAATTTTTGTTTAGCAAAGAACTGGCTATTTCAGGTTTCTGGGATATCTTAGTTTAAGGTATTTTCCCAATATTAAATTGTTACTTTTTTTTTTTTTAAAGACAAAACCAGCAAGAAATTATATGGCAACAGATTCAAGGTGTGGTTTGCTTAAATTAATGACAGGTATGTGGAAAGATAATTATTATATTACATTTCAGTCCACTGCAAACAGTAAAAATATCAAAGGTCCCAAAATTCAGTCTGAATAAGATATATTACTAAAACCACCACCCCCATCCTAACAGGCTAAGACATTGCATCTAACAAAATTACCCACCCGATTATTAAAGAAACAGCAATGTTACTAAGAACAGCTCACTAAATATACAGAACTACATTACCTAGGTAGAATTTATTGCAAAACCAGGAAAGAGACAGCAAACTAGAAGTCTGTCTTCCACTTCAGATTTGTATCACTCGTTCAAGTTTCACTCGCTCGCGCACACACACATACACACACACACGCAGCCTGTACACAGAAAGTCGCTAAACACATTTGAGTTCCCACAGTCTCACAGGAAACCTTAAAACATTTCAGTAAAAAGTTAAAATGAGATCTTTTACCACAAGGACTATAAAATCCCCCCCACCCTCACTACCTTTGAATTTCTAAGTTTTGGATTCTAAAAACCATACATAAAAAGGAAGAGTTATTTCAGTAGCACAAAGACTACCTTAAATATATATCAAAGGAAGTCTAAGGAGAGTTAATGCAACAAAAAAAAAAAAAATTAAGACCTGCATCGCACACAGTCAGTGTTTTCAACACTGTTGATAAGCTCTAAATCTCTAAATGTAGTAGAGCACTGGTTGTTTTTGATTAAATTTTAATTCTGAAGTTACATAAAAAAACAGTTGTAGCAGTTCTTTTGAACTGCTAGTTTCATGAGGAAAAAGTCCCTTTCAAAACTTCAATAAATATGCTGACATGTAAAGTTAGTTGAGGTTGTCATGCAAGACAAGTTACATAACCAAGACCAACTCAATCTTTATAATAAAGGCAACTTGCATTCAAAAATGAACTTTACCCTTACAATTTTATTCAAAGGGTAAACATGAATTAACCCAGCTGTTTACCTGAATTACAAAAGTAACATGATTCAATATGAAAATAAGAAACTGTCTACAAATCTCTGACAGTAATAAATTGCAATATACAATGCATACAGGAGTTATACAGAGCAACAAACTCTTGTACAAAACAAAAATACTTTAATACCTTTAAAATCCAATTTTTTTTTAAAATCATCATGAAAAAGATTTGAGTCAGAACTCACACCTCAATTAGTCAAGCTTCTGGTAGCTACATTACAGCTATTTAATATACAAAGAGATAAATCTCTTCACCAGTCATTAAAACTGCCTCTTCATTAGAGTTGCACAGCTTTTCCGTCTTGTGTTCCCAGATACAAAGTTTTCTTCAAATCATGAGAACTGGATTTGTTGAACACCAGAGATCTAGAGAAAGAAAATGCAAGGTTACATTCAAATGCACCTTTCCTGAAACTGCATCGCAGCTAGCAGCCTTGAATTGTCAGTGTTGGAATGTCACGACACCCACCACCAAAGGACTACATAAAATTCGTTCTCATCTTTCACAACAGGGCAGCTGAATTAGCGTTTGAATTTTAGCAGCAGAAGGGAGAGTATGGGACGGGATACAGTACCTGTTGATACGATGTTGTGTAGACCATAACATTCTGCTGTTGGCCATCTGTAGTTATTAAGCCTGCTGGCAACTGGTTAGCTGAAAGAAAGAGCATTTTAAGAAAGTTAGACAGGAACTGCAGGACACACAGAGCCTCGTTTGACATGGCTGTCACCATTAAATAACCTTTAATTGTGGTCCACTCCAGGACTCCAGAGCCATTCCTCTCCTGACACCTACCATCCTACACTGCATACAGACACACTTGTCACTGAGTGTTACAAGTAAGCAATTTTATTCCCATTAAGAAGAAACACTTAAGAAACAAAATTCAACTTAATTTTGCATCAGATAATCTAAAAGAAAGTGCACCTTGTTCTTCCCCTGTACATAATCTGAAGCAGAACATACACAGCTGTACATGGCAAATGGAGCAGAGTTTGCCAACTCGACCATTGAAAAAGCCATCTCCAGCATTCAATGTCCCAAGAAACCTGGAGAATTCTGGTTGTTTAGACATAAGGTTAGCACTTGAGCGTACACATGTGTGAGGAACTCAATGAAATCGTTGCGCTGCTTTATAAAACAGGATCCGTCAGGGACTCCATAATGTGGAAGCCCCGTGGAAGGCAGCAGAGATGAACAGAGATGGTCAATGACAAAAAAAAAGGCACTGCCAGAGCCTGACTTTACACTGATTGACTTCAGCACACCATTCAGGGTACGCACAAGAGCTCTGAATTTCATGGAGGGCGGAGGAGGTCAATGAGTGGAGTAAAAAGTACTTACTTCTGAGATTTAGAGAGAAAACAGAGGGAGTGATGCTCTAAGATAAACCTTTACAATAATGTGACATTCAGAGTAGCTATGTTACAACTGCTACTTGGAAGCAAAGCAGCCAAACTCTTAAGTTGTAAGTTAAGTCGCTGTAGCATAACAGTCTCCGCTAGGAGACAAACAATGGGGCTTTTTTGTTTCTGAAGTATGGCTGTTACTGTGTATAAATAAAATGTATAACCCATTAAAAAAAATTCTGAAAACACAGTATAATCCTAACAGCTGTCATCTGAAAGCTGACACGTGGGAGTTTTTTAATTGAGTTTTTGGTTGGGTTAGTTTCCCCCCCCGCCTTCATGGTACTAATTTTCAAATACTTAAGTTGCAAGTTAAGAGATGCATTAAGATCACAGTGAGAAGTGGCTCTGGCAGGTCCAAAATTTTACTGCCCTTTCATCGCATGTTCCACATCCAACACATTTTAATGCCAAGCCTCCTACCCAGCCCTGGCATTAGGCTAAGACAAAGAGCTAAGGGTTATGCCACAGCAGCACAGCTATTAACTGCTACTCCTGCAGAAAGACCATCGTTCTGATTAGATCTATAGCTGCCCCTATGGAAAGAAATACCTGTAGCACTTGACACGCTCAGTTATTTTACAGAAAAAAAAATCTTTTCCTCCTTCTTCTACTGCTGCAACATCTTCTTTGCATCCTGCCGAGACTTAATATTCACTTCCAAAGTTGCTCTTTTCAAATCACAGCAAATTAAGGCTTATTTCATCGAGCACCCTGAGGTTCCCAAGCCTGAGATACTTGAACAAGTGACTAGGAGCAGATATTCAGCCTTCTGCTGTTTAACAGAGACAGTATCAAATTTGGGAAGGGGACAGAGAATCCACAGAGATAAGGGGATTTGTTTTTTCTGGTTTCCATTTTCTGGCAGGCATTGTACTCAGGCTAAGCAGAGCATGAGCATCCAGAGGAGAAACCCTTTGTGAATTTGACTCTTTGCCCATACAAAACAAGATGTTGGATGCAGACACAATCAGGAGTTTCCAACTATATATTCTCCCTCAACTCTTGAGCTGCAGTTTACAGGCTTGAAATGCAAATCAGAATATACACAAAATACAGCTTTTGGAACAATTTCTATATATTGATTTGACAAGCTTCCAAGCTGGACAGACTCCCAACACCTGCAATCTAGAAACCATTAGCAACATACCCAACGTAAGTAAGTTGGGCCTATAGTTGTGCTAGTGTCTTGCTACTTCTGAACCAACAGAGCTATTACATTTGAGTGAGTATAGATAAAAGTTTACTATTTGCACTGCCTGATCTTTAACTATAAAATTAAAATAGTCATATTAAAAAAAAAAAAAGCTTTCTATAAGTCCCCTGCAATATTGAGGTTTAGATGCTTAATTTCCAGCCAGTTTTATGACCTTATCTTCCAGGCTAGGAGAGACCCAAAGAGTCTCTGTACTGATCTGTATAGCCAAAGTCATCATACTGGGAGCAAAGCGTGTTTCAGACCCTGAGTAGGTCATTTCAGTCCTCAGGCTTTGAATTTTTGCTAGTTCAGTAGTTTACCAGTGATTTTAAACAGAAGACTTGGATACTTGAAAAACTAAATCTCGTCAGTAGATATGACTAGAGCTGTGCCTCCTAATTCTTCTTTTATCAGCTTCAAGATTATCAGCCCATAATATTTAAAAGCTGAGGTGAAGACTACATGCAAGAATCCAGCATCAACAAAACCAACACAAAGGCCCAACAACTGTCAGCCTTTAATTCACAGTATAAGGAAGAAAAACTACAGTGAATGCATACACTGCTGCTTGCCCTACACCTTTTAGTTGCCAATCTGTGCATTTTTTTGAATGTAAGAAATATTAAGCACTTCAGAATTATATGATGATGTTCTTCTCTGGCTCATTTCTCAAAGACGAGCTCCTCAAGTCATTGAGTCGAGTTTATTTTACTTGTTCCCCAACAGTCTTGCAAGTAGAACGAATGTGGCCTAATACGTAGCTACTGGGGGGGTAAGGAAAAAAGTTTGCACCTTTCATTACAATCTATGTTTAAGTGTAGAGAAAAATACTAGCACTAATGTATGCATTTAAAAATCTTCCACGGTTGACATTAGCTATTAGAGTGTTATCATTTATCGTTATATTACCTCATTCTGACCATAAATTCTACTGACTGGGAGGAGTTTATCTGAGCAGAGGTTATCCTCCAGACATTTCAAATGAGAATCTCTATGGATCACAGGTGTAACATGTGGCCAGTCCAAGATGTATTCCTCAAGTTAAGAATTCTGATGTCTAAAGGAAGTGCTATTTTTAGAAAAGCCATAGTAATAATATAATAAATTAAAAAGCATTACTTACTAAATGCTTCCTCTGTGAGCTCCTCACTTAGACCATCTCCAGTTGTAACTGTTCCCCCAATTCCCTTTTCTCCTTTCATTGCCTGGAGAGGAAAAGAAAAAAAAAGAAAAGGAAGAATTTCTATTAGAGTACAGTTGGTTTGAGATTGTTTCAAGACCCACGAGCTCTAGCCAAAGTTTAGAGCTTGCAGAAGAGTCACTGTGCAGCATCTGAAGTTTGAAATCCAAGACCTGTAAAACTCTATGAGATTTAAGAACGTGCATAGTACAAGAATATGTGAAGGATGATTTTCATCTTAGCCGTACTCCTTAGAAACAAAAACTCTGCAAACTAGGATTGTGTAATTCTAAGAAAGGCTTTCACCTTCTGCAAAAAGTCAAAGATCTGCAGTAATCCAGAAGCAGCAGTTAAGAATATTTACAAGAAATCACAGAATCTCAGAATTACTGAGAATGTGGAACATCTGCTTACCAACTACACACAAGTGCCATCATCATATAGCTAAGAGTTGACATTTAAAACCAAGATATTGGATTTCTTTTCCTGCATCAAGGACTACAGCCAGAAAGGATATCAGCACAGAAAGCCAAGGCTCTCAGTCATCTGCATGCAGTTTTACAAGTATGAAGTTTGATGCTCTGCACTATTACATAAGAACATGTAAGAAAATAAAATAGGTGTAAAAAGTATTCTCTGCAACTGTTTGATGTAGACTAAATACTAAGCTACAAAACAGAAATATTTCACTATATACAGTACCCTGAGGACAGAACTAGCTGGAATGGAGGTTTAAAACTGATGAGCAAAACCATCCAATCCCTCCAATTAAAACCCAGTCCCACTACTCTGCTACCACAGCATATGTATCTGCAAAAATGGTCACTTCAGAATGAAAGAAGCATAGACACACTTCAGACTTCTCCAGAAGTACTAAAACTAGTTAGGCACTACTTGCATTTTTAATTAAAGCACATACAGCAGTTTGACGGCACACGCAACTGCTACGCAGAACTCGAAAACGATGGCATACAGCAGTACTTCAACTTTTAGATTACACCTTCTGTTACTCATCACAGAAAATGACTTTCTGGGAAGGCGAAGCTTCAAGTGCTATCAGCAAATTAAATATCATTAGCGAGTCTCACCCCATTAATTAAAATCTTAGGTTTACAGAACAAAGAAAGTCTGAAGAGCATCTCTATCTACAGCACTGCCAATTTAGACATACCCGCTTCACTCATGCCAGCAAAACCCAGTAGCCATACCAACAGAGAGATTAACATTAAAAAAAAAAAATTTTTTTTTAAATTGTTTTGATTTTTTTCCCAGGATTGCTTTAATCCTGAACAACTTCTTCATTCAGGACTATGAGGAAGAGAAGTCACTGGATAAAAATACCTTTGATTTGTTTGGTTAAATCTGGTATTCTGAGGTATAAGAACACCAAACTAAAGAAGCAAGCAGGCAAGCATAAGTCTCTTTGGTCTTCAGACAGATAGGTGGGGGGCAGACCAGAACAAAAAAAACCAAGCAGAAGCAACTTGTTTTTCAAAAAGTTTAAACTACTGAATGGAAAAAAAAAAAAAGTCACTTTCTGCTACAGAAGGGATAAATTAAAATGCTTGGATCACATACCTAGCATGTACTGTGCATCAAAAGCAAATTCAGAGACAGGGTAAAAAAAAAACAGATTTAAAAAAAACAACATTGAAGCAGATAGGCTTCCATGTGAATCATTATTCTGACATGATAAAAACAACTTTTTCTTTTGCAGTTCTGAAGCCCAGACAAACAATAAGCATTAGGCTAGTTCCTCAGAGGATGCAGTCTAGTACAGTTTTATTGATTGAACCCAAAGATTGAATTAAGTATTCTTAATAGGCACCTTTAAAGAACAGAGTGATTTACTACCAGCAATATATTGGAGAATTTATTCAGTTGAAAGCTTTAACTACTTTGAATCAGCAAGTCTAATCAAAATGCTTACTTACTCTTTTTTCCTCTTTATATCCTCTGGAATGCTTTTAAACATTACATTAGTCCCTGACAATAGCTGTGAGATACTGTGCAAGTTATCCATTATACAATTACAATGATGGGGAGCTAAGGATAAACACAACCAGGTTAAATAAATGAGGAAATACTGAAGTAGATACTGACCTCTCTGAATTTTTGGAGGTATAACTTCAAAGGTTCAACATAGCTATCAAACCCTAAGGTAGACATGGCAAAGAGAATATCTTCTCCATTGATGGTCTTTCTTTTCTCTTGGTGACACCTCTCACTTGCTTCTGACGTTATAAAGCTGATGAATTCACTTACACACTCTTGCACACATTCCTTTGCATCCTTAGCAATCTAGTAAGGAAAAAGTAAAATAAAATGATTTATCAAGACACAGGATTAAAAAAAAAAACCAACCAAAGAATACACTAGGTAATAAAGGAAACATCGCAAAACCTGATGATAATAGCCATTTAGGCAACACCTATATATGAGGGAACCACTGGATGTCATCACTGCTCTATGTAAGCACAGCTGCAACACAATTTTAATCTAAGTTTTACTATTTCAAGCAGCACAGCAAACTGCCAGGATCTCCTGCAGTCATAACTATGTTCTGTACAAGCTTTTACATACAGATGCATCTCAGTATTGCTTACTTTGTAATGAACAGGTTTAAAGAGAAGGTGTAGGTAAGCAATGTCACAGCCCACTTCCATCTTCCTTTTAATAGACCTGGCAGTTCCAACTCCACTGTAGTACATTCCCACAAATTTGGCAACAAGTATTTTTATCCTGACCAGTTCACGGACTAAAATATACACCTAGCAGCAAGCCTCTCTTATTCTGGTGTAAATTTTCCAAATGAGAATACAAACAAAGAAACATATGCCCCTGGCAAGAAAGAAATAGGTAAATTTCATCATGGTTTTCAGCTGGACAAAAGTAAGTTACCTGACTTAAAAGAACAGCAAGCATTACTCATTATTATTTGGGAAGCTGACAGGAGCCAACTGAAAGATTATAATAATTAAGATTCTTATTCTTCACATGAGAACAACCTGTTTGTATTTAAAAAAAAAAAAAATGAAGCAGTAACTGTATGTAGAATCTTCACTAGTTCCTCTGGTATTTTCAGATACATAGGGTGAGATTTTCAGAAGTACTCATCAGCCAGCAGCTTCCCTTGCAGTTTTTCACAAAAACGTCCCTGATATTTCAAGATAGCTCAACATCCCATATGCTAAATTTTTGAGAAAAATCTCATCTTGATCACTAAAAATTTATGACAATATGGACTAGTGAAGAAATTTTCACAGCAAAGATATAAATGTAACACCCAGATCTTCAGAAAGCCCTGAACACTATGAAAGTACAAGCAGATGCAAGTAAATTATGTCTTGGTTCTATTTAGAGTGATCTCAAAAAAAGAAAAAAAAAAAAAAGACATCAGCTTTAGCTAGAGGAAATGTTACTGGGGCAGGAATTGTATTGGAATACAACAGAGGAACAACAAGTAATAGGAGCCCTGCAAAGGTTTTAGATAAACAAGTAGAACTGTCAAACACTTATACAATCACCAGCTCAGCAGAATGGATTAAAGTCTATTCTTAGAAGTAAGAAATAAAAGAAATCTTTCAATATCTGGCCTTATCTACAACAGGGTATAAGGCAAACTTCTTGGGTCATTTTGGCATTTGGATATGTAAAGATTCCGGTGATGGAAGACTAACAATTCTCTTTCCTTCAGGATAAGGACTGGATTTTTATTTCATCCAAAATGGTTCACTTATTCCAAATTTTATGCACCTCAGTAAAAGCAGATTAAATTTTGTAAGAGAATTGCATAGAAAATATTCTTACTGATATGGGACTGTCACCAAGTCTGACCCGTTACAACAATTTCACAGAACACATCTTGGAAAAAGAAAGCCCTGAAAGCCCTATGAAGAGCACTGTTCTGGATACTCTAATTACGGCAGTTGCTAAAAGCTTTCAGAAACCTAAAAAAAATGGACTTGGTCTCAATCACCTCCTGCTCAGATTTTTTTTTCTTTTTTCTTTTCTCTTCTAAGGCTTTTCTCCAATAAACCAGGATCATTTGGAAAAATACATTGTTCTACCAGCTCAAGTTCACTCAGAGGAAGGAATAAAACTCATTAACACACTTTACCAGACAAGGGTATTACCTTTCCTGTTTGGGGTATGGCATTTTTCATTATCCTTGCCACATTTGCAATTGGAAGATATATATCTTGTTCTCTAAAACTCTCTTTTGAGCCATTTGTGTCTTCGTGATCATTCATACTGTCCTCTGTGTCTAATGAAATAAAGAAAAATTAACAGAAAATTTATTTGATAGACAGCAGGCAATAATTAAGTCAGTTTAAAATCTTACACTGAAGGATGAAGACCTTTGAAAGCACAGTGTACTAACACTGTAGAAGTAATTAAAAAAGAGATGCAACACCAGGGTACTTTTATGGTTGTTCGATACCATCTTTATCACATTATGCGCAGAAATGTACATGGCTGCTGAACACCAAGCATTCTTAATGTCATGTCAAAATACAAATTGTTTCCTAGAACATAAATTTTTTTTTGTCATCACCTCAAAGGTCTCTGTGTCAACACTGAAAAATCCAAGCCCCACCTTCAGACTGCAGAAAAAAATGCTTTATACAGATGAGGCATTATGAATACAAATAATTGCAAATTCTTAGCTTGAGAGAAGATAGCAGAGAACTATACAAGAACTGGAAGGAAATATATATACACACACACACAGAAGTAGTATTTACTGTAACGTTTCTTACCATCATGAGGCTGTATCACATAGTGACTGCCACCAATGTAATCTCCAGCAATTCCTAACTGAGAAGCATCCGTTGTGGAGCTATCACCATCCATCTACAACCAGAAGAAGGAAACCTTTCAGGTATGTTTGTTACACCATTAAGTGCAGCTATGGCTGACAAACAGCACTTTAATCAACTTAGAACTATGAGACCAATTTATACAAAGCATAAATATTTTGTCATTTGAGAACAGCATCCCTTCTCTCATTACTGAGCTTTACTGACAGTGGAAACAAGGAAACTGTTTTGTGAAGCTTCCCCAAAAATTCAGCCGGAGGCACAGGCCATGCACAGCAACATTTGGTTCATGCAGCACATATAAAGCAACCTTGTGTTGTTCCCATGAAAGTCTGACCAGAACAGGTCAAGGCATCTATTTCTCTGAACAACCCTCGAAACCTACGCTCGCTGAAGACTTTACCTACAGTTGTTACACAGAGTGCATCCTCCACTCATCATCACTCCCCTCCCAAAGAAGCTTTTGTCTAGCCCACCAACAAACTTCTCCCAGCCAGACCTCAGGACCAGCTCTGTATCCGCATCCTCACCCTCCCTGAGGCACCAGTCACTCCCAGCTGCCTTCCGAGTCCCGTTTTCCTTCGCTTTCCCTGGTCCTGCCCTGCCTCGCTCCTCTGGGCATCCTCCAGTGCTCCTCTCACAATGTTCCGACGTGGTGGCCAACAAGAAGTCTTCTCCTTGAGGCTTTAGAGATGAGGTCACAGTTTAATAGGCAATTTGAATGCCAGGAGAAAGAGGGAAGCCAGAAGAGCCGGCATTTCCCTCCCCGGCTGGGGACCCTTGTCCCGGGAAGCAACCACCACGTTTCAGCTGGAGGAGTCTGGGAGATGCCTGCCTTCCCCCTTCCAAATGGGGCAAAACTACCGAGATCAGCAGCAGCCATTTGCTACTAATTCTCAACGTTTGCTAGGAAATCGACTTTGTGAACAAGCCAAGGGGTCTCGCAGTGCTGCTCCGAACGGAGGCTGTGCCCCAGAGGGTCCTCAGCAGCCTGCCGTCTCACCGCTCGGAGACATCGCACGTACCGCGCTTCCTCATTCTGCGGAGGTGAAAGAGGCGAAGATGCCTCCTACGTCCCTTGGAGGTTCACATCTCTTTAGTGAGGACTTGCCACAACAGCAACAGAACACATCGCTGCCTTCTGCACCCACGTTTTGCCACCATACACAACACACAGACATATGTGCATTCTTGCAACAGCAAATGCTTTGGCCCATGTAACCTGTTACCATATTACATTTTGCCTTTTTACAGGAATAAGTAATTTCCTTAAACACTGTCAGCAGGTGCTCAGTAGAAAGCTTAGTCCTACCAAAAAAAAAAATCATAGCAGACAACGGTTGCACTTTCAAAGGGGCTATTTTATCAGTGCCAAATGTAAGTTCGAATTCAAGTTTCCAGCTTTTTAAAACTTTTGGACAATCCTGACTTTTTTCCAGTTGCAGGTGTCTTGAAAATTGCATTTTAAAAGTGTATTAAAAATAAGCTTTTGCAGAACATTGAGCTGCCATGCTTTTTCTCATGTAGGGTGGTATTTTTGCAGTCATGTGCTTTAATAATGCTTCTTTTGGAGAGAGGAAACAATGCAAAAATTAGGGAGGGAGCAGGGGCTCCCAGCACATGCAAACTCTTTCAACACAGGCGCACAAATCCAAAGATATTTTTTAACACGTTTAGATGCACAGCACCAGATTCACCTTTGCCCTGAATTTTCTTGGCTGTATTTAACATCAAACAACTCTGTTAGCATTTGCTTATCTACCCATTTGCTAGAAAATCAGCTCTTCCATTCCCATTCTACACTTCATACTGTTCCTTCTCTGGACCAGCACTTCCCATCCTACCCTCTCCCCAGCCCAGCTGTTTCTGATGAGAGCAGCCAGCCTTACTGACAAGCTACATAGACAGCCCCATGGGAGGCAGAACCTGGCTCCATTCCGTCGCCGACCTACACCAGGTGCCCTGGTGTCCTTGGAAAACAAGCCCTGTCCCAAAGGGTTGCGTGGTCATTGCCGGTGAGACCATGCAGCTCACTTCTTTACAGACCATTAGCCTGAAGAGGGAGGGAGAAGCAGTCTTGTGCTATTTTTATACCTACCCAGAAATATGAGCAACTTAACCTCCCTCTAATCTGCACTTTGCCTGTTGCCACAGGGCTGGGGTTTGCTTTCAAACCCTTAGGCAACGTCCAGTGCTACGCTTGGCCACAGATGCACAAGTAACCCGAGAGCTGCTCACATTCAAGGCAATACTACAACAGCTGGATGTAGCCTTAGGAGCTGCTTAAGAGGAAAAAAACCCCACTCTTCCACCTCTTCCTCATTGTACAGAATGTGCTTTTTTTAAAGCACTTCTGGTCCCTTTTGATGGGCTTTTGTAAAACGGTTTCACTTCTTAGACAGCAGCTCTGCCCAAACGAAGGGTAGCATTTTAGGCATTAGCTTTCCATGTGCCAACTTTCATGTAAATTCACTTTGTCTGCATTTTGCAGACTCTTTGTTGGGAGATTTAACTTTGCTTTTCAATTTTCCAAAGGGTCTCCAGTTTGCTTACTCAGCTCACTCTAATGACAGTGCAAGGATATCACAATCCTGCACGTCAAGACCACCAAAATCGACATCACCCATCATTAAGAGAGTTGTCTCTCTTTTCCTTCTGCAATTTGAAGCAATTAACATTCTGCAGTCTGGTAAATCCCAAAAGCTACCTCCAAAATTAAGTTAGGATTTCCTGGCAGTCTTGTCCTCAGTTTAGGCTCTCTGATCCCTACTAGAATTTTACTCAGAATTAGGGTCTCCACGAACTTTAAACGTTAAGTTTATTCAGCCCCAGTACTATTTTAAATGCCTTGATGTTTCTTCCCCTCTCCTTTCTCAGTCTTCTCTGAAACATATCTTCTAAAACTTTCCTTTTTCCAGGATTGCAATATTCTTCACATTTCTGCAGTGATGTGATAATTCACTAGTTTCTGCTCACCTGTCCTGCAGCCTACCCCATCTGAATCTTTATTGCCAAGACCCAGCAATATTATTTAAGAAATCATCTTGCTTTCATTAGATCAGCTCACCTTCAAAAGACAACTCCTGCTTGAATCTCTTTTAAACCTCTGCTGCATCTGTAGACAGTTTTGGCCATATTAGACTAATGCATCAGCAAGGTACTATTCTTTGCTTTTATTCTTTTCTGTGTGCACTTTTCCATATCTACTTACAGTATGTATTACTTCACCATTAGTGAGAATTTGAGTGGAAGCTTATCAACATAATGAATCTAAAATAGCAATTAGCAAAATTGACAGGAAAAGGCTTGCAAAAGAAAAAGGCAGATCAGTCTCAGATAAAGAAAACAGGCACTGACAGCTTAGCATCAACTGAAATTACTTCTGTGGGTATTACTTTAAGAAAGATTTTTAGCTGCCAGGACAACCTCGGGGCAGGGGATTACAGACAGCGTAACGCCCTTCTGCATAACACTTAGCATAACCAGGTCCTAATCCAGGATCACAGGATAATTCAGGTTGGAAGGGGCCTCGGGAGGTCTCTAGTCCAACCCCTGCTCAAAGCAGGGTCAGCTCCAAGCTCAGAGCAGGTCACCCGGGGCTTTATCCAGCCACATCTTGAAGACCTTCATGGACAGAGCCTGCCCAGCCACCCTGTGAGCCTCTTCCACAGCTTGGCTGGCCTCATGGTGAGAAAAGGAGCAGCATCTCTACACACTACTTCAATCCAAGCAAGTCTGATGAAGAATTTCAGTCAGATTTGTCATTTAACTCAAATCTAGATCTAGGCATCTGAATATAGCAACTGTAATTAATATACCATCTAGTCACCCCACTAGTATTTCTTTGAGCCCGATGGATGACACAAACATGACCCTGCTGAAAAACGTGGCCACTGCTATTCCAGTCATCTCATAATGAACACAGTTAGACATTGAAGTATTACGGTTTTAATTTCAGATGTTCAAAACTTAAGTCAATCACCACATATCTGATTGTGAGCTCAGCACAAGCTCTGTAATACATACAACACAATGCTCAGAAAATGAGAAAAGACTGCTCTCAATACACTGTTGATAATTAATCCCCCCCTTTAAACAAAAAAAACCCCAACAAAACAACAAATACACAAAACAAACTAAACCCTCAGTGTCCCCCAAGTTACTCTAAAAAGGCAGCAGTCCAATGCAGCATAGAAACAACACCCTGCCTACAGTAAATACAGTAACTGGAGTCACTGGGAGACTAAACGGACAAGAGTTCTTATGCTGGTATGTTTTGTAGGAAGAGCTACTTCTTTGGATGGAAGTAGATGCCAAATTTCATGAACAGGCAGAATCCTGGGAGAACTAATCCTAAAAGGTTCAGATGGGTGAGAACGCTCTTCTCCTATTTTGCTCTAGCCCCTGGAACTGTTACAACTTTCTTTAAAGCACCTATTTGGAGACTATGTATCCCATCTGCATGGCAGTTTCAGCATGCAGACACTACAATGTCTTTTAATACCTTACAGTGTCCTCTATACCTGTGTGGCTAGGGAGGAGGGCTTCCAACACACTGGTCTAGTAGCACATACTGCACACAACTTCAAGAAGCACTTACTGCATGTTGTACATTATCCTCAGCCTTTAGTGCTAGGAAAACACTGAAGCTCCTCCATGCATGCATACACATATTGACTGAATCAAGACTTGAGAACTAAGCATATCAGAAGCGACATGTCAGCCTCTGAAGTGACCATGCCACCATCTGATTTTTATCAACAACGAGGGAGAGAAACCCAAGTCAGTACAGGACACTCAACCCAAACATTCAGTGATACACTGCAAAAAGCATCTGAATACAGAGCAGCAGCACGAAGTTTTCTGGTGGTGGTTTTCTGTTTGGTTTTTTTTTTTATTTTTAATGAAAAAGAATATTACTAGGAATATACAAATTAATGGATCCAGGGAAATTAACCTGAGAAATATGTTAAAAGAGAACCATTTCAGATCAAGGGCATCAAAGAAAATTCAGTAATAAGATGGAAGTGAATGAACATACAGGTTTACACTGACATCTGGCAGAAAGTTTTCTGGAGGATGCTAAAAAATATATGCTCCTGTCAGCTGCCCAAAACTCAGACTGCTCCTACAATACATCTATACTGAATTAATAAAACCTCAGTATCTCAAAGTAATCTTGCATCCTGTTTAATCTTAAGAGCTCTCTTAAGAGAGCAGTATCAGTGGCTCAGCTAAACGACAACTAAAGAAGAATGCAAGCCCTGACCTTTTAGCACCTAGGAGAGGGTCTAAAACTTAGATCAGTATAAAAGGCAAAAATAGAATCAAAGAAACAAGATTTTGTCTTCAGAATGGGGAAGTTATCTGGCAATGATTTGCAAAACTGGTCTCTTGCAGGGAAACCAAAGGCCTCTTGCGATTTAAATACCACACATGGTATTTATCCACTCTGTCTCCCCAAACTGCTACCCTACAAGAGGGACAGCAGAAAATGATATGCAATGAACTGAAGCACTTGGTACACTTTCCACACAGAGTTGTCCCTGCCATAGAAGCAGGACAGAAATAACTAAAACTGCAGGTAGGAACCACATCAGTCATTTTAGATTAATTTTGCCACCACACCTTATCACAAGAGATGTAAAGCTGTAAAGCAGTAACAGCAGCTGCTGCTCCTAAACAGAAATACAGAAAGAATTTTTAATTGAAAATACATTTTTAATTTCCTTTTATTTTTCAATGACTTCTGGAGAACCTAATTTCCCACTGAATTTTCACGTGGCAGCAAAGCAGTGTCTCCTGCATCAAGAAACACCGACTGGTAAATCCACTCACGGGCCATCATTCCAGCAGATCCACAAAAATGTAAAGTTAAAACCCCTTAGCATGTGCCTAGAACACAAACAGATGCTGCACTGTCTCTCTCCATCTTGGGCTCCTCTTATCTCTCACATTCAGTGTTTTCCCCCACAACAGAATAACATTAGGAGAAGCAGACTGATGCTGAGAGGACCTGACAGCGTCACTAAGGCTCGTTAGCATCTAGGCTGTACCAGGCTCCTTCCCTTGGACCATGGGGAAGAAACCTTTCCTTTATGAAATCCAGATAGGGCCTTTTCACCTTCCCCCTCCACATACCATATTATCAACGTTATGGCTCATCTTAGGAGCCCTGATGTCACCGGCCACAAGTCCCTTCCAGAGGGATCCAGCTGTGCTAGAGTTATGTGGTGGCTCCTTACTAGGCTGGCTAACTGTTCACAAGCATGGTTAGCTGCAATACATATGGGTGGACTAACAATGCATATATTTTTACATCAAGTAGGAGTGGATCAGTGATATGGAGCAAGCAGGAGAAATTCAGTTTCCATGCCTTCTCTTTTTTGGCAGTAAAAGAGAGAAGCTGGAGGGGAAAAAAAACGAGATGAACCGAGGCAGTTTTGCTGCTTTTGCAGATGCTGGAAGAGGGCAGCGGTGCTGAACAGACTGCACCAGCACCTCCTTCCTCCTGTAACACTGACTGAAAGCCCCATATTACCTTTCCACATTAAGTTCTTTTATGCTTTTCTAGCATTTTTTGTTGTGAAAAACTAAGCTTATCTGTTTATTAAAGCAGCAGTCCACAAATCCTGCCTTTTTCAAGTTTGATAACAGCTGTAAGTTGGTTATGCTTTTCCTTCATTGCAGTAGTACCTCAAGGGTGCCAAGAAGCTTATTCCTTTCAAGCAATAAGGCAAGTAAGAGTTTTACAAAGCTAGTTCAGACCAGGCCAGTATTTTCAGTCAAAAGTATCAAATTTGCTGACACTTCCTTTTATTCTACCAATATTGTTTACACATTGTTTAGTATGCGTATATATAGAGTCATGTTTTGCACTTTTTACAAGCATCCTGCCAGTAAAACATCAATTTCCAAACACCGTGTTTCTCTAAAGTACTATTGCAAAACTCAGTACTGAAAAGTCAAGTTTCTTCCTAAGCAAAATTTTAAAGGTGAAGCAACACTAGAGATTTGCATTTGAAAGCACTAAAGGAAGAGCCTTGCAAGCCCTTTTTAAATGTTGACAAACAAGATAACTGACTTGAAAAGTTTCATAGTATGTTTCGTATCTTCACAGTATCTTGAACAATCTTTTTCATTCAATTTCTGTACACTGCCTCCCTTCATGTAATTATTACCACAAATAAGAGGTTATCCATTAACCTTTGAACTGCTGTAATTGTCAAATATTAAAGTCTAAAGAGTAACATCCAGTATTCTTGACTTCTTTCAAATATAATGTCATAGCTGTAAATGCTAGCAGCCAAGACCATATATAATCACCCGCTCAATGCAGTGTACAAGCAACTCATGCAGACCTCATAAATAATGATTCAGATTAAACCATCTTGGGTCTCCCAGAGAATTACAGATGGATCCTCCCTTAACATTATAACTATCACGCCATAGGCCACGCCACACAAGTAAAGTAAAAAAAAAAAGTAATCACTAAGCGTATTGTTTAGGAACGCTATGCTAACAATTATGCATACACACCGTTTCTCCATTTCTGCAAGCCAATTAAAGCCAAGACTGTGAATAATGCCCAAAGCGGCTCCTTCCATTTTGCTTTTCACTACTTCGCCTGAGCTTCTTTTGAGAAAGCTGCAATTTTATTTTTTTTAAATTGACAATAACTTCCATCTGTCAGTGAGACAGGCAAAGCTTACTACATGTAAGAGAGCCCATTCAAGGGCTGAAATCCAGATTTCTACATCCTTCACTGCCTAGAAATGTTCGGGTCATCAATTATTTTGCCCTCCCAAAAGCAACCCAAGAACACCAGGTAGCTTTTACATGACAACTCTTTGCAGAACAAAATATTTTTGGTTAAGCCTTGAAGAAATTGGTAAAAGCTAGAAGTTGACTGATTTTCTATTGCTGCAGGATTGCAGCAGGACCTAGGAAGGTTTCTTTAACCAGTGTATCTTAAGAGCTGCAGAAATATTACTAGAACACATGGATTTTTTTTTTTTATTTTCCAGTATGATTGCCTGCGACTAACCTACACGATATTCTTCAGGATCGCCAACTACATAATTTCTGGATGGAGCAGCGGCTGGCACACCCAGGTACGCCCAAGAACTCTCGCCAAACACACAACAGCGTGTGCAGACACGGAGAACGGCAGAGTCCCGTCTCTCTCCTACCTGCCGTGCGTGTTAGGGACAAGCCGCCGATGCTGCTCGGCTGTGCCAGCCGATCGATCTCACTTCGTGCCCTTCAATGATGCAACAGCAGCCAGCGCAGGGGCACGAGGGGGAAAACCTTCCTATCGACACAGACGGCCTCAAAGTCTTCCCCGCGCCCGGCCTGCACCTGTCCCGTAGACACCTTGTCTATCGCGGCCCCTCGTTTTCACACTGAGCACCAGGGCACATCCCCAGTTATTCAGCAACTTTATTGTCAACCACCTTGGCTGTGACTTCTGGCGGAAGGCAGCAGCCTCCCGTGCCCGCGGAGGGGGGGAGCGGCCCTCCTGCAGACCACTGCCCGTTATTCCCTCCCCGAAACCGCCGTACCCGCACCGGGCTGTCACCCGGCTCCTCTCACCGCATCCCGGGGCCTCGCCCTACACTCCTTATCCCTGCAAAAAAACGCGGGCCGCCAGACCTTCAAGGAAATTTCGGTCTCGACAACAACGGCGGCAGCAGCGGGGAGGCCGGGCCGCTCTCGCCCCGCTGCCCGGCTCCCGGCCCGGTGAGGGGCCGTGGGCGTGGTGGGGGCCCCCCAGAAGCGCGGCGGGGCCTCGGCCCCTCTCTCCCGCGGCGAGGGGAGGGGGCTCGGCGGGCGGAGGCGCTGGCCGGGCAAAAAACAAAAGAGAGCGGAGCCCCCTCCGCCCGCGAACGGCGACGCGCGGCCGCC